ATACAAGACCCAAGAGCCACTCAAGTTAGAGGGTTACTGTATGAGCTTAAGAAAATTTTTTAGTCATTATGCCCATATTTGTTTTGTCCTTGATTGATCTCTGAAGTGCGAGGAGTGATAACCAATTAGGATTTTTTTTATTTCATTTTTGTATATTTTTTTATTCATCAATTTATGGTGAGTAATTTTTGTTTTTTTGCTCTTTCACCCTCTTTGTCTTAATATATTTGTATATATTCATATGTATATACTTTTAAAAAGTGTCTGCTTTTAAAGCCATATAAATAGAGATTATTTACTTATCCTTATTTCACATTAAATCAAGAATTTTGTAAGTGTGCATATATTTAGTATTTAAAAACTTGTTTTGACTATTGAATACTTTTTTTCCCATAATGTTAGGCTGACTTGTTTCATCATGTTCTTCATTTGTACAATCTGTAAAAAGAGGTGGGCTTTTTTTCTTTTTCCAGAAAAGACTAACAGAAAAATACTGATTGGTTCAACTCATTCCCAGCAATGCAGGCCATACATTCACAGAAACACTATTGTTTTTTTTTTTGTTTTTTTTTTTACACACAAAGATGCTCTTCACGTCTTTTCCTGTTGAGCAAAGAAATATATACCATAGTGAAATCCACATTAGTCTGACAAACTTTTCCATCAGGTTAATATGTATGCTACTTCTTTGTTTAAATTTTCTTTATATATTAGTTGGGCTGTATTATATTTTCTGTAGAATGGATTGACTGAAAACATTGTGTTAACAACATAAAATCTGACTTCAGAAGAATCAACAACTTTAGAAACAGTAATAATGATTTTTCTCAAAATTGCAAAAGTTGTATATTGAGTATATCTAAATATTTTGTCTATTATAATATGGCTTTAAAACGGCCATTTTAAAAATATATATCCATATATGTTAAAAGAGTATTGAATAGGAGTAGATAGGTTTATCTATTGTCTTTTGAACAGGAGCAGAGGTTTATCCCTTGTTTCCTGTTTAGGACTGGGTTTCTGGTTTCATCTAAAGTTTACTTCAACTCTATACTTATAACATCTCAGCCTAAACTCTGAAATTTTATTTACTATTTTTTTTCTTCAAAATTATAACAAAAAATAAATAACAACAATAAAAAACAAAACAAAAATGAAAGTTAACTGGTTATTGATGACAAAAGATACTGTTGCACATATTTATAAGTTTTGTCCTCAGTTGAGCTTTGATGGGAGAGGACCAATAACTGTTTAGTGCTTTATATTTTTTGACTCACACTTTACAGCGAATTATATTCTTATCTTTGCTCTTCATTTTAATGTGTTTGTATATGACACCAGTTCTCAGTTGATCACCAAAGTTAAGCAACATTGAGCCTGGTCATTGCCTAGATAGGTGACTACTTGGGAATACCAGGTGCTGTAAGCATGGATGTAGAGTTGGTGTGACAGATTACAGCTTGGAATAAGAAATTGGAGAGCCAAGTTCAATTCCAGTAGGGTTCATTACATTCACTTACGTGCAAATACTCTTGGGAAAGGTATGAATATATCTCCCCCCCACTTCCCAGTTATAGGTTAAATAACAGGACAGATATCTTTAGCAACCAGTCAACCATACAAAGTAATAGCAACCTACTGTGAGAATTCTTCTGTCAAGTCTATCTTGAATCAAAAAGAGACCTGATCACCCAAGTGTATGTCCTTCATGGTACCTAAAAAAGGAAGAATTGAATATATACTTTTAAAATGTTAATTTTTAAAACCATAATAAAGTTTTGTACTCCACCCACAGATTATTTTTATAAATAATAATTGTGAACTAATTCTCTTGGCTTATTATCTTGCTTTTGAATGTTATTTCATTTTCTAAAGAAAATTGGACAATGTTTAATCTTCATGCCCATAAAAGAACAACGTGTCAAAAGGATGGTTTTTCTCTTGACACTGCTATCATTTTAAATACCTTCACTCATCGGCAATATTTGTTTTAAAAAGTGATGATTAGAATTGTAATAAAACCTGATCATATGATGAAACTGAATTTATACGTGTTTGTTCTTGATATTTTACATCAATATTGAACACTATTTATTTATTAGATTGTTTAATTACAAGAATAATTTTATATTTACAACATTCTAAAAACTAATACAATTAAAACTAATGTAATATTTATCATTTACCAATTTATAAAGAAATAAATACGAAAACAATTTTTTATTTATAAATTGACAAACATTTACAAAATTATTAAAAAATGTGAACAAATTATGAGGAAATCTTTATCCTTTTGTAAAGTTTGAATCTATTGGCCATTAGCTGATGTTTTGCCAATCATTTCAATAGACAATAGATAAAGTGTTTAGTAATTTTGTTTTCATATTTTTTTTTTAAAATTATAATCATGATTTTTTAAAACAATAAACATTGCCAAGGAGTGAAAGTAGTTAAAAAAAATGATAAGAATGTTGAGGGGAAAACTATCCTTTTGACACACTGTTTTTTTTTTTTTGTGGGGGTCATAAAGATTAAACATTGCCAAAAAATTGTTTTTATAATGAGAAATCTCAGTACTGAAGGACTTGCTTAATATGATTGAATGCTTATTTTTGCTGAACAATTTTTTATTTAATTTTATTTTCAAGCCATATTTGATATGCTGATATATTTTTTTATCTTAGATTTGTTTTTTCTTTTGTCCTGAGTGATATAATTTTTCAGACTATTATCCACATTTTTTAAAAATTTTACTTCCAAATAACTTGCAGTTCATAATATATCTGGTTTAAAGAAAAGTTCTCATAGTTTATAGAACATTAGAATTATTTTGAAACCACAAGAACGTTCCTTCTAATGAAACAAAATAATATTTACAAATTCAAAAGGAGTATTTTTGCAATATAACATCTGCCAAATATTTACCATTTCTTTTGTTTACATGCTTTTTGATTTGTCCAGATATTATGAATATTAGAATGATATTGAGGAAACTATTGTAATGACAAATGTATGCAGGTATAGGCTTTAAGAAAGCTCTATTTAACTGAGAATATGAGGTTTGTGTATAGTGTTCTTTTATAGTCCTAGTAAACAGAAATAGTTCTCTCAAAGAGGAGAGTAACAAAACAAGGTGAGACCACTCTTGATTATTCATAACAACTATGTTCTCAGTTCAACCAAAGAGAAAGCCATAGAACCATGAAAGTTATGTTATCTGACATATTCAACTTGCAGTTCAATTCACTTTGCTTACTATTTCTCAAGTTTCTTTGACTGTTTCCAAAGAATTCTATTTGATTACTGAAATACTGATTTATGGCAACTGGATATGGCCAAAAATATTTTAGCACCCACCTCATAATTTGATAAAAATGTCAAATTGTCACTAAAACAGTGAGGTTGCATATCAATAATTACTGAATATAAAGTTCATCTGTAGAATTATGTACTGTGTTTAACCTATTATAAATACACTTCACAGTGCATATATAAGAAATATTTATACCTATTACCTATACTGAGAGTTGTAACCCTAGCAAACTTGAGTTTTTTTTAAAGAAAAAGAAAATATTCCTTTCTGTATTTTTTAATTTTTATTTTTTTGATTTTTTAAAAATGTTTTTAATTTTTTTTTATTTTTATATTTTTTTTTAATTTTTTTTTTTAAAGAGAAAATGTTCCTTGGTATATTTTGTAACTGGGAAATGTTTGTTATTATAACCAGGGAAAAGAACCAAGATTGTCATTTCAGATTTTTAGTTAATCATGTGACAGCCATTTTGAATATTTAATGAGCTAAAATTACCTAATTTGCATAATTTGGGTTAGCTAAGTGCTTCCAACCCAAATTATGCAAATTAGGTCAACAGGTAGCAAAACAGAAACAGAAATTAGCAAATGAGTTTGAATTATATCAGTTTATTATAATTACTTTCACACGAATACATATGAATTCATTTCCTCTCCACCCATGTACCTTGCTTTGCATATACCACTGTTGCTATGACTGCTGTAGATGTATCCCTATGGCCCTAGTGTTATTGCTAACAACCTGGCAGATTTTATTGCAACTAGCTGTGATAACCAACACTGCGTGGGCTAAGTTTTTAAATTTTAACTAATTTACATATTTAGTTTTATCTTCCTTGAGTAAAAACTGCTAAGTTGGGCATGATATAAGACATATGCTGGTAGATTTAAATGATAAAACCATATATAGCCTATTTTAAATTAATTTTCAGAATTTTGAGTTGACACGTTCTTTAAATATTTCTATCAGATGTATATTCTTATTTAACTTATCTATACCAAATGCCCCTCTTGTTGGGCAGGGTTTTAATCAGTTCCATGCATCAAGACAGACTATAATAATTTTGTATCATAACAAAAAGTTTGAAACTCTTCATTATGATACAAATAATATTATCATCTAATGTATTAATCTTGATGCCCTGGGCTGATTAAGACCATGCCTGACTAGTTGGGTGTCGTGCATAAATGGGTTAACATCATGAAATTGAAAGACAGAAAAACAAATTTTTCTGAGGGTAATAGTCTGGAAAAATATTTACAATGAGAATGGTTGCTGGTTTCATTTTGAAAATATCAAATTTGCTTACTATTATTTCATTTTTTTTCTTTTTAATTAATAATTAAATTAATATTTCTAATTGCTAATAATTATTATTTATTTTGCAATTGCTCTGATTATTACTTACCCTTTTTTCTGTTTTAGTTATGTGTTATTTACAGATTTTGGTTGTAAAATCTGATAAAACAATTTTATTTTGTTTAACATTGATAAGAATAATTATTTGTTACATTTTAATTTTGACTCTTTTTCTTAAAAATATTCTCAACATAACATCCTGGCTCTCGAGCCTGGCTAAGACTTAAGCAATTTTTCTTTTCTTTGGCATTTTTTTTTTTTTTGTATTTTTATTTATTTTTCTTGTTTGTTGTTTATTGCATTTCACTTTTGTGGCCTTCATTTCCAGACTTTACTTTCCTCGGGCAGTGGTGGTCAGGCTCGGAGTGTGAATTGTATATTGATCCTTCTGATTTGCCATATATCTCCAACGAACATGCACTTGTCATTATGAATCACAAGTATGACATTGACTGGCTCATGGGATGGATAATCATTGAACGGTTTGGCATGCTTGGGGTAAGAACAAGATCTGTTCAACTTGGGACCTGTGCTCACCACCTTTTAGAATGCTTTGGATATCTATTGCTCGAAAAATTTCTTTTTCTTTCAATTTCTTTTCCATCTTTCTGGTTCCTTTTTCTTTCTTTGCTATTTTTTATTTTTAAATATGGTCATGTGGTGTGTCCACAGACTGCTCTATTTATTTCGTCATGTGATGTATTGTTATGTGTCTGTTCATTTGTCTCTTCACTGTGGTGGTTCTATCTTTTGCTTATAGAAATTTTCAGCCATTTTGTTTTTTATCTAGAGTTTTAAATTCTTATACACACACACACACACACACATATATATAAACAGTGTTTAACAAATATAAACACACTTTAATAAGAGCTAGATGTTGAAATTGCCTTATAATAAAGAGGTAAATATTACTATAAAGATTTTGTATAAAAAATTATACTGATAAAGTGTAAATTAATAACAACTGGCCTATATTGAGAAGTCCTACCAAAGAAAAATGATGCCTCCAATAGGAATTGAATCTGCATCCCTTTTTTTCCATCAGGAAAACCACTTTTTGAGCCAAAGTGTGCCTCTCTCAGTACAGCCATGGAGCCAGCTTAACAGAGTAAGTTTTGAATTACCTCTTAGCAAAAACATATTTCTTGTTGGGAATTTCATTGTTTAATAAAATTAAAAAATAGGGATAGAAACTCAAACACATATTCCCACTAAAAATAACATTTATAAAGTAATAGAGATAATGTCAGATAAAAAATCCTTCAAAAATTACTGTTGTTTACATTTTGGTAGGGAAACTGAAGCTAGCAGATATAGATCAGCAAAAGTCCCAATGTGATACCTGCTTTTGCCAATAGATAATTCAAACCTTTCTCTGTTAGGCTGGCTCTATGGCTGAAATGGGAGAGGCAGACCTTGGCTCAAAAAGTGATTTCCCTGATGGGTGGAGTGAGGGAGGAAGGGATGCAGGTGTGATTCTTGTCAGAGGCACAATTTTTCTTGAGTAGGACTTCTCAATTTGTTGTTATTAATTTCACTGTGTGAATTCATTTTTTACATGAGGACACTTTCTATATCTATGTAGACACATGCATCCAGGGATCAAGTCATAACTAAATAAATAAAGCATTTTCCAAATAGCAACAGTTTTGAACATCTAAAGTTTAGTCTGTTTGGTTTTATGGCACATTAACCTTTTGTTGGGTTATTTAATGTCAGAACTCAAGTCATGCTATTAAATAGCCTTGTCAGATCAAAACTCTCCTCTGGATATTGTCCAACTTGTTCAGAAATGTCAAAATTATCAGCTATATACAACCATTTTCTAAGATCAATGGTTAAGAATGGATGAATCTTCTAGGATCTTTAGGTAATAGACAATCCTTCATCAGATCTTATAGACTGGCACAACAGAATCACAAATAAATAACTTTAAGACAGCTACAACAACTAAAATGGATAGCACATGTAACTTGAGAAGAAAATGATATAATCAAAATGTTGATTTTCCACACCACCTCAAGTAAAAGGTTAGGAAGGAAATTCCAATAAATACTAAAAAGTGCAATAACAGTGTACTTCAGAAATGTATTTCCCTAAAATATGGTTTTAAGAAAAAGATTTTATAAATTTCAACTGACAGTAACATTTAACTGTTTGGTTGATGAATGCCGAATGTGTTTCCTCTACGGAAACGGTCAATCTCATCATTACCATTGCTATAGGAATGCATTAGAAATGATTTTAATATAGGAATCCATTCAAAAAGAATTGACTGTTGTATAGTCTAATTTCTGGAAAACAGTTTTAAGAGAAAGAATTTGTAAATTTCAACTGACAGTAATGCTAATTGTTTGGTCAATGAAGGCCGAATGTTTCCTGTATAGAAATGGTCAATTTCACTATTACCATTGCCATAGGAATCCATTAAAAATGAATTGACTGTAGTAAAGTCTAATTTCTGGAAAACAGTTTTAAGAGAAAGAATTTAAATTTCACCTGACAGTAACGCTAACTGTTCAGTCAATGAAGGCTGAATGTTTCCTGTATGGAAATGGCTAATTTTGCCATTATCATTTGTATGTGGCACATAGTGAAGATTGAACTCACTACTTGCATGTGACAAACACCCAGACAAGCATTGTTAACTAAATGCAGTGCATAGATATCTATTTAGTTCAGTTTGTTGGTTTTTAAGATATATCAGCACTTGTTTAGGTTAGTTAAATTTGAATTTTATATTGTGCACCCAATGAGGACGAAAGTCTCTATTCAGTAATGGCCAGCCAAACTAGCCTCATTGACATTACCTCATTCTGAAATGCCTAACAAAGCATTTCATTATTGCATTTATTTAAATTTTTAAGTAAAAAACCTTAATCTTAATAATCTTTAAGCATTTCCCTGTATCCACTTATAAAGAATCCTGTAAATCAAATATGTATCTAAGTATAAAATATCTGAATGAGAAAAATATTAACTAACTTATTTTCACTGTGCTGAGAGAAACTAGAATTTAAAGCTTCCTGTGGCTGTGGTAATGCTGCCTGACAATTGTATGTTATGAGAAGATGTCTTTGTGACTTGCAAAATATTCTTAATTGTCATGTAATAATAAATTGGTTGCTTCTGGCCGGATTACATAAATTTGATATTTTGCTGCCATCATCTGCAATTATTTTTTTAATCACTTTTGTAAAAATTAATAATTAATTTTGCAACTGTTGTGCCCTTTGTAGGAAAAGGACAATTATTTTATTTATTTTTTCAAAAAGAAAAACAAAATTCTAGTTGCATTTCCATGTAGAAACTGTTAAAATATTACTGTGTTGAAATTCAAATTTCTGTTGTTTTAGAAAAAGAAAAATTGGACAAACTTGGACCACAAAAACTGGAGCGTCAAAAGGGCAGTTTTTCCCTTAACACTGCTATCATTTTAACTACCTTCAATCCTTGACAATGTTTTAAAAAGTGATGATTATGACTGTAATAAAGTCTAAACATATGATGAAAGTGAATTTATACATTTTCTTTTGTTCTTGAGAATTTACAACAAAAATATTAAACACTATTTATTTATTAGATTGTTTATTTACAAGAATAATTTTATATTTAGAAAATTCTAAAAACTAATACAATTAAAATTAATGCAATGCAATATTTATCATTTTCAATTAATAATGAAATAACTATGGAAACAATTTTTTATTCATAAATTTATAAACATTTACTAAATTATTAAAATATATGAACAAGGAAATTCTTATTTACCATTTTATAAAGTTCAATTGGTAATTAGATGATGTTTTGCCAACCATTCCAATAAAAAATATAATAGTGTAAAGAAACAATCTAATATATAGTGTTTATTATCTTTCTTACCAATTCTCAAGAACAAAGAAAATGTATAAATTCACTTTCATCATCTGTTTAGGCTTTATTACAATTGTAATCATCACTTTTTAAAACAATAAACATTGCCAAGGATTAAAGGTAGTTAAAATAATAGCAGTGTTAAGGGAAAAACTATCCTTTTGACACTCCGGTTTTTGCTGAGTGTCTGTTGAGTTTTGAAGGTAGTAGAAATAATAGTGGTGTCAAAGGAAAATCATTCTTCTGAAACTCAGATTTTTGTGGGCATGAAAGTCCAATTTTGCCAAAAATTGCTACATATGAGATATTTTAAGATTCTTGAATCATGAATTTATGTATGCAAATCTTTCAACATAGAACATTTCTGATTTGAAGTTGAATGTTTTATTTATTTATTCATATCTAAAAAAGTGTCACGTCAGACATACTATCAATATTTTTTTTAGTTTTCAATCATAAGCATTGAAAATATCCAACCTCATTTTAAAGAAAGGAAGTTTTTGAACAGTTTGTTGTTCATTTTTTTTAATTCCTCAAAATCTTTGTTAATCCCCCAACATTAAAATGTGGTCAAGATGTTCTTTAATCCAAAAGGACATTTTCAGTGTCTTCTTTCATGACAGTACCAATAATCTTACTGGGATTTAAGTTAGGTGAAATATCCAAGCCACCTGAAAATGTCCTGTGTATGCAACTCTGTACACTGCATATGCAAATCATTTCTTTACCAGTGTATCAGTCATCAAATCACATAGATAAAAAAAAAGGGGGACAAATCTTGTGGTCAGTTCACTTGTGTCCAACTTGTGTTAAAAATAAGAAATAAGTCTGAGAGGCTCCTCATTTATAATTGTGTATACTGTCAAGAGTAAGCTTTTTGGAGCAAAACATTTAATTGCTAAAAGTTGTTTTCCTTATATAAGAACATCTGAAAATTTGTCCCAAATAACAGTAATATTATCATTTATTAAAAAAAAAAAGAACTTTCCAAGGCAACCATGACATCTTTCTCATTAAGATATAAATCATTTGACAAATTTAGAAAATTTAGAAAATGCTAAAAAAAAGCTGTCATTTTTTTTTTTTATTAATTACGAGTGAGAGAAAAAACTTTATATCTCACGTTAGATCAATAAATCTTTAGCCTGATACAGTTAGATGAGTTTTGATCTGAAAGATGCCAGGAAACTAACAAATTGAGTTGAAGCTACAAAATTCCAAAATGACTTTCTTCTCATTGGTAGAACAAATTAGCCCAGCTTATTTTAAAATAATTAAAGATTTGCAGGTGATAAGATTCAAAGTGTGGTAGAACTGTGTTTTCAGTACTAATCCACTTGTAACCCTGGACAAAAGTTCACCAATGAATTAAGTGAAGTGATAATGAAAGAGATTATGTTGAAAAATGAATGTTTTTTTGTTTTTTTTCTACTAAAGTTTTTTGATGTACTCCATATACAGTTTAGAATTCCAATTCAGTATTTATTAGTAAATTTATCACAAAATATGTTATTGTAACTTGCATTTAGTTATATAGTTTGAATATATGTAAAATCATACTATATATATATATATATATATATATATATATATATATATATATATATATATATATATATCAT